TAGCCCAGGCTGGCCTCGAACTCACAGAGATCCGCCTGGCTCTGCCTCCCAAGTGCTGGGATTAAAGGCATGCGCCACCACCGCCCGGCTTTTTCTTCTTCTTTTAAATACAGGGTCTCACTATTTACCCTGGCTGGCCTAGAACTCTATGTAGACAAGGTTGGCCTGTTACTCACAGAGGTACACCGGCCTCAAGGCTTTTGATATCACACCAGCCTCTTTTTTTTTTTTTTTTAGGTGGGTTCTCATGTAACTTCAGCTGTCCCCAAACTCCCCATGTAGCTGAGGATGATTTTGAACTCTTGATTTTCCTGCCTCTGCTTCCCAAGTGGTGGGATCGCAGGCATGTGCCACAACTCCTGGTTTATGCTGTTAGGGATGGAACCCAGGAATTCAGCCTGTTAGGCAGGCTGGCACTCTACCAACTGACCTCAGCCATGGGACACCTTCAGCTCTTACCTCCAGGCCTCCATCCACTGGGAGTTGTTCTAGGTGGGCAGGGGCACTGTGCATCTGTGTGGCCAGTGGTCCTGTGCTGAGGAGGCTCCTCCCCCTTTAAATTATTGTGGCATCTTTGTCCAAAGCCAATTGGCTGTAAAATGTGAGGGTTTATTTGCGGATTGTGGACGTCTGGTTCTGTCCTGCTGGCAAACGTGACTGTCCTCCATGCCAGCATGTCTTTGTGCACACACAGCTGCCTGGTGAGTCTGGAGCTGTCACATTTGAATCCTGCAACGTTGCTCTTGGAAGCAGCCGTTACTGCCCTGGGTACTTCCACATGAATTTCCTGACCTGCCTGTGGGTTTCTCTGAAGGGGAAGGGTCGAGGTTCTGGTGGTGACTGTTCTGGATCTCACACTGCCACCTGCTCACAGGTTCATTGATTCGGGACAAACGGCACAGGGTGGCAGTGCCTCCCACACCTTCAGCTACTTGGGGGACTGAGGTGGAGGATGTGGGTTCTGCACCTTCTCTCCCCCATGGTACCTCCTGAAATGGAGTCTACCCCAGTGCTTACTGTAGCCAGCCAGGGGCAGGTGAAGGCTGGGAGTCAAGTCAGCATGTGGCTCCCTCATCCCTGGCCTGTCACTCTAGAGGAAGTGGGACCACACTTGGATGCCCACACTTAAGGACCAGAACTTCCCACAAGAGCCTGTTTGCTCTTCTGAGAATTTGGGGGAATGACTCAGGTCAGATTCTGGGGCCACTAGGGTTCTCTTAGCTGTTTGAAATGAGGGTGCAGACACCTCCCCAGTCGGGTGGAGGCCGTGTATACCCGCAGTCAACTGGTCAGAGATGGTCCTGAAAACGTAGGGCTTCCCCAGAGAACTTGTACCGCTGGACTTGGGACCCAGCCACCCTGGTTGTCCATGGCTGGAGGGCCTGGCCTCTGAGCATGAGCTTTAAAGTCTGAACTAAGTGGGTGGGAAATATTTAGCTCCTGACCCAGCGGAAGGTCTAGTCGGGCCTCACCCCCAGAACCTGTTCTACCCCCCTGTGGCCCAGCCTTCTCCACACATTCTGTAGTCATGGGTGGATGACCCCTGGAGCTGGTGACCCCTGGAGCGTGTCCTGCCGCTCAGGATTGGAACTCCCCCGCTGGCCTTAAGTAATTATTTATGGTGGCCCCTGTCTCCCCTGGGTGCAGGGCAGGTGGCATACCCTGCTGAGCCCATGGTGCCTACTCTACGCCACCCCTGGAGTCAGGAGGAGGCTGTGCGGCGCCCCGGGGCGCTTCCAGCCTCTGGTGGTGCAGTCAGAGCCCTCTCTGGTGGAGACCAGGCCTTTGACCTTCGGTTGTTTGGTTTGGTTTGTGTGCCACCCCCGTCCTGCAAGACAAGGTCTGTGTGTCAGCCCTGGCTGTCCCCCACCTCACAGGTGCCTCTGCCTAAGGGCTGAGATTAAAGGCGTGTACCACCATACCTGGCACCTTTGTCCTAGACCAGTGGTTCTCAGCCTTCCTAATGCTGTGACCCTTTAATACAGTTCTTCACCGGGCAGTGGTGGCCCCAGCCTTTAATCCCAGCACTTGGGAGGCAGAGACTGGCAGGTCTCTGTGAGTTCAAGGCCAGCCTGTTGTACAGGGTGAGTTCCAAGACAGCCATGGCTATGCAGAGAAACCCTGTCTCAAAAAACAATAACAAAATATGGTTCCTCTTGTTGTGGTGATCCCAACCTATAAAATT